TTTATAGAGTGGTGGTTCTGTGTGTGTCTGGACATAGTACTTTCTTAAATTCTTGTTGGTTGATTTTTGTTCTTAATGTTTTGATCTTTCTCGAACTTGTCCTGCTGCTTTAAGGATTTTAAAATCTCTTAAAGCCTAGGTTTATTATCTTGAGATTCAAGATAAAATGTGTAACTCTTACAGTGCTTTCATCCTAATGTAATTCAGTGTTTTCTATCATGAGTGTGCACATAGAATTTTATAGAATTTAAAGGGGTTTTTCCAAATACTAATTAGGTTATTTCAGAATATCAGCTATGTTTGCCATTCATTTTTTTTTTCTTAAATAGAGATGGTCTGGAATTTGTCCAGATAACCCATTAAAGTTCCAATTGTCCAATGAGGTATCTTCCCCAGTCTGAATCTTTTATCTTAACGGAAAGAAATGTAGGCTGGGCATTTTCTGTGGGCATTTAGCAGATTCCAGAAACTCTTATGGCCTTTTATGGTATTTGCCTTTGTTTGTCTACCATTTTCAAATGGAAAGAGCCACTAGACCATATATGATATATGTAGTTGGTCTCTTCAGTGGCAAGGTGGTAATAACATTTTGTAATTATTTATTTTTTAAAATTAAGGAATTTCAGAAGAAAGGTATCATTTACATCAGTGTTTTCTAATTTGGACCATGGTCTCTTGTAAGACATATATTTTATATCACTACCCAAAACATAGTAAATAGTTATGTAAAAAGCCTAAAACAACATGAAACAATTTGCCCTTTAATATCAGAGTAGGATGCACTTTGATATTTTCTATCCTGACCCATTTAATTTTTAAAAGCACTGTTTGTGACCCACCAAATTGATTTTTCAACTTAACAATGTGTGGTGACTTGTATCCTGAAAAACACTTTTAAATAAGTACATGTTTATCCCAAGACCAGAATCTGTTTCTAACATAAATGCCTCACGTAGCTTAAAACTGTCATGATGATCTTGCAACATTGATGCTCTTTTGTCCTTAGTATTACTTTAAAATTACAAAAATCTGTAGTGATTATAAGTAATTCTGAAATTAAATTGAAATCACAAAGGTATATATAATGTTTTAAAAATACATCTTTTGCTTTTTAGAGTGATCTAGATTTTGGTTTTGAATGAACAATTGCCGTTAAAATTTTTAGTAGTTTTTTTTTTTTAATTATTGAAGAAAAGAGTATTTGTGTTTCCCTTGTGAAATTAGTCTATAGCAATTACATCCTGTCTTGAGATTATTGTAATATAATGGTTTTCTTTGAATTATAGATTTGAAATATAACTATTTTATTACTACTTTACATTTATGTGACATAAATGATCAAATTGATCAAAACAATACACATATACACATATGTGTGAGTATACATATATATAATTTCATCCTCATGAGTCTGTGATGTATAGGCAAGGTAGGTTGTAGAGAATAATTGAACAGATTTAGGATCCAGAAATATGCTATCATAGAATGTTTCCACTGCTTCTCTTGAAATAATACTTTTTTAGTTTGCCAAGTAGTTTCCCAGGTATTTTGAGCTTACCAAATATTGTAAAACCTTTAACATGAAGAATGTTAATGGAAGCTTTATGAAATTGGTGTAACCTATGGTACATCTTTGGCTAAACCACATTTATTTTACAACCATTCAGATGAGGTAAGAAAGATGGCACTCTTACTTGAATTTCTAAATAATTAAACACCAGTGATTACATCTTGTGGGAGAAGTAGTACAGATGACTGGTTTGAGTTAGGATTACTCAAAGAGTAGAAGGAAGGATAAAGTGGTAACAGGTGGCTATCAGGGAAGGGAAAATAAATCCTGCTATTACTGTATTTAGTAATATTTTGTTTTTCTTACCTGCCTTTTCTGAACTGTTGAATGAAGATCCTGGACATAATAATAGCTTACATTGAAATGTTTTCTATGTATCCGGCAACAATCTGAGAACTTTGTTTTAAGAAAAAGACATTTACATGTATATGTACTGTGAAATGTTTCATGCAGTCTGAAGAGTATATAAAATGCATTTACAGTTAAATAATAATAATAAAACCAATACTTACATACCCAGCATCCCAGATTTAGAGGAGATCTTACATATATCTCCTGATCCTTATCTCTTCCCCTTTATATGCCCTCTACATGCTCCAGGTAACCAGAATCCTCACTTTTGTGTGCCTTTTCTTTTTTTCTAGTAATGTTACCATCATGTGTGCATATCTAGACAATTTATGGTTATTTCTTTAAACACTATTTAGAGTGTGTTTGAAGAAAAACTTTAGACAAATTTAACAGAGTTTGAGTGAGAACGATTCATGGATTGTGCAACACTCAAAACCAGAAGAGGTCCAGAGAGCACCACTCTGAAACATAAGCAGTGAATATTTATAGACAGAACTCAGAAATACAGAAGTAGCTTGATTGGCTACAGCTGGGCTTCTGCCTTATTTGATCGTGATCTGATTAGTTTGTTGCCTGTGATTGTCTGAAGCTCACCTGCTTGTGATTGGCAAAGATCTGCCTATTTGTTACAAATATTAGATTCCTAAGTTAGGTTTCTGTTCATTTACATACCAAAGTTAGCTTGTAGTTCATTATTGGGAACTAAAAGTAGAGAGATAGCCTCAGGCCATTGGCCTCCTGCTTATTTAACAGTAGCAAGCCCAAACCTGGTTGGGTAAGGAAAGGGCAACATTGCTGGAAGATAAACTGAGCAAGAGTCTCTGAGCCATAGTTTGTTAATGATTTATTTGAGAGTTTAACAAAAGTCGTCTGAAGAAAGCATTTGACAAGATAATTAGTGGGTCTTGGGAAATACAGGATTCATTATTGCTTGTGGTTTAGTTACTGGACACCTGGCAGGAATATGACCAGGAGAGGTATATTCTGCTTTTTAGCTCACCATGTTCTACCAGGAATAAGTAAAAAGTAGAATGCTTCCTTGTTTTGGAAGTATTCTCAACTGATCCAAACATCAGCTTGGAAGAAAAGAAGTTTTATCAGCATACAGTCAGACACACAAGCCAGTGTCAACAAAGAACTTGGGCAAAGCTCACCCAAGCAGTTTGCCCATGTATCAAAAAAGATGGTGCATGCATGTTCTCACTCATAGGTGGGAATTGAACAATGAGAACACTTGGACACAGGAAGGGGACCATCATACACCGGGGCCTGTTGTGAGGTGGGGGGAGTGGGGAGGGATAGCATTAGGAGATATACCTAATGTAAATGACCAGTTAATGGGTGCAGCACACCAACGTGGCACATGTATACATATGTAACAAACCTGCACGTTGTGCACATGTACCCTAGAACATAAAGTATAATAATAAATAAATAAATAAATAAAATACTACCTATAGAAAAAAATAATAAAATGTAAAAAAAAAAAAGGTGCAGTGGCAGGGGGACTTTTTGGTGATGACACCTCTTTTATATTGAACGTCCTGTTTCTATACCCCATGCATTCTTGATTTATCATGTTTTAGTACAGTTTTATCTTCTAGTACAGCCTTTCTTAACTGGGGTCTCATGACAGAAGTAAATCCTGTCAAAATAAACAGGAATATTTTCTCTGTTTTCCCAAAGATATAGTGCATGGTTGGAAACATTATAGATGCATGGGAGATAAATTTAATTCATCTTGAACAATGGATGCCTTAGTACATTAGGCTTAATTGTATTGCAGAACCCCAGCTGAGAAGGGTCTGCTGTAGTAAATTATTTTAAGAGGTACATAGAAATTAAAATTTTGAGACCTTGCATGTCTAAAGATATCTTTATTTTACTCTAATATATAATTGATAATTTGGCTGGGTATGGAATTCTAAATTGAAACCAGTTTTCTTTCATATTTTGAAGATACTGGTTATATTTTTGGCCTGCTTCCAGTATTGTTGTTGACATCAATAGCCTATCTGATTCATGATCCAGAGGAGCTTGGTGCTGTGAATTATGTGCAGAAGGGTTCTTTGGTGTAAATAGGGTTGACTCTCAGTTTTTACTACTGCTGGTTTTGATTTGGCTTTCTTGGATCTGCAAGACCATGACTACTTGTTCATCTCAAGGTTTGCAGTGTCAAATTTATGTTGTTAATATATCCTCTCCTGGATACATACTTTTGGGATATATATACGTATTTGTTTATTTTTTAAAAATACCCCTTTTCTTGATTTTACTTGAGTTTTAGGAGGGAACACATTTTTGTTCAGTATCTTCATTTTGCCATTTTAACCTAGACTCTTTTAAAAGTTTATATGTATCATCTCGTTTAATCCTCGTAACAATCCTATAATATCAGTACTACTATTAGCATTTTATAGGTGAGAAAACAAAGACCCAGAGAAATTAAGTAAACTGTTTAAGTATTTCTAGGAAAGATAAAACAGAGATTTGAATGCAGTTTAATTTCAAATCCTGCTTGACTGTTATACTAGTATAATGCTGTTTGTGACGTTCTTTATGCTTTTAAAGGCAAGCAGCATTGCATGAATTATAATTATTTGTTGTCTACAGTTAATGATAATGTACATTTTATGATATGGAGAAAAGCAAAAAATAATAACCAAACCAACCCCTAAAACCCACAAACTTGCTGCAATTATGGGTATTAGTGGTAAACTTATTCTCCACTAATTGATTTTGAAATGCCTTTGCCCAAGAAAGAATATGTCATATGCAAGAAACTGAGTTTTGCCTGGTGTGGTGGCTCACACCTACAGTCCTAGCACTTTAGGACACTAAGGTGGACTGATCACCTGGGTCAGGAGTGTGAGACCAGTCTGCCCAACATGGCGAAACCCCATCTCTACTAAAAATACAAAAATTAGCCAGGCATGGTGGCAGGTGCCTGTAGTTCCAGCTACTTGGGAGGCTGAGGCAGGAGAATCACTTGAACCCACGAGGTAGAGGTGGCAGTGAGCCAAGATTGTGCCACTGCACTCTAGCCTGGACAACAGTGAGACTCCATCTCAAAAAAGAAAAAAAAAGAAAGAAAGAAATTGAGTTTTGGTTTTTTTGTGTGTGTCCTTTCTGGTAAGGACAAAGTCTTAGATTATATGAGATCTTGTGCATGAATAGAGAACCAACCTTGAAGTGTATGCATAGTAAGGAAGGAAACTGAGATCTTGTGGTAAGATACCTATGAAAATGAACCCCGAAGTAAATTTTAACGCAGTTGGTTGTTGTCCAGCTGAGTGGGTGTATTTTCAGATTGAAAGAAATAATTATAACCAAAAAAATCAATCTACAGCATATAGAGAGAACAACTGATTAGAGCTTTTAAATTTGAATTAAGGTAGGGTAAGGTATATGGATTTTAGTATAATTGGGAGAGAATTCTTTGGAATTTTAAAGATTAGGTATAAAGAGATGGTATCATTATAAGGATAGGAAAGTACCTGTTAGATTTAATGACGTGATGTCAATACTAGTCGCTTAGTTTTAAACATAGTACATTTGTCACTGTGATAATAAAGTTACTTTTTTAAAAAAAAATTATAAGCGGGAAAGACTCATTGATAGATTGTAGATTTTGAACAGTTTAAATATAATTAAGAGGAACAGTAGCAGCTCGTATTTGTTTCAAGGAACATGTTAGAGCATACAGCATTATGGTGTCATTTTAATCTCCTCTGTTGATTGGTTTGCGCTACCACTGTCTTAATGACTCATATCCCTGCTGGAGGCAAAACTTAAATGTTTATTCTCTGCTTTAACTGTTGGAATCCATCAACATTGTGCTTGAAAGAGTATCTTTCTTTATGAATTTTTAATCATGGCTGAGGCAAGCTGTAGATTAGATATAAATCTAGAAGCTTCAGGGAAGATAAAAAGCATTACATTTATATCCATCTTTGAAGTAAGTAAAAGCTGGGAAGGAAGGACTCAGAAGAGGTGGGAAGTGTGGCCGGATACTACAAAAACATAATGGATGTGATAAAAGGATTGCATTTTTAAGAAGAGAAAATGACTTTGTTACTTCATCTTGAATTGCTAAGTATTGATCTTGCTTTATTTTCCTAAAGCAGCAATTCAGTGCAGGGTGGCTTGATAAAAAGGGAAAACATTAGTTGAATAGCCTTTAGTGTTTATCAGTTCATTTTTTTAAAAATTAGCAGCATGATTTAATGCTTTTTCTGTCAGGCTTTCTCTATCTGTTTACTGCTGATTTGACAGTCTTTGGTCCTTCTCCTTTGCTGTTAAATGTGTGTGTTCTTTGTTTGTGGTGGTGGGTTTTGCTACAGTTGGATGTGAGAGAAAAGCCTGTCTTTGCCATATTGGTCTGATTAGCCTCTGGGTGAGCATATACATTAAATAGACCTTCTGAGCTATGAAAGAAGAGAGCTCACAACAACGTAGATTTTCTTCATGTACTGGGGTTTCGCCTGTTTTATTTCCTCCACGGATTGATGGCCGAAAGCTTGTTCGGAATGCTTCATTTGGAGGATACAATGAACTTTCTCCTTCATTGCCAGGTTTGTGTGTTTAATCTTGCATTTCTAATTTCTTGCAGACTTTTAATTAAAATAAACCAGGCATTTTAACGTTTTAAAGCTGCTTTCATTTGAACAAAACAATTCTGTAGTGAAAGCTTAGGTTTCAGTAACTGCTGCTAAACAGCTTGGCTTTTCCATATTTTCTATTAGAGTCTCTTCAGCTAAAACTTGAGAAGTAATGATTCAGTAAAGTGGGAATCTTGAGTGCTTACGGCATAAATTTTTGCTTTAATTATAGAAATATTATGACCCTTTGATAAAATTAAAGCCCTTCTAGACTTGAGATAAACACAAAATTATATAAACAAACACATTTCTCTGAGGGTTTACCAAATGAAACCCAGATATTAATATTGATATTTGTTCATTTTTTGCAGAATGGTAGCTGTATTAAAGTTGATGTTTAATGTAAGCTTTAATGTCACCACTTTATTATCTTAATGTTTTTATCTTAAATTCCTAAATTTATCTCAGACTGTGACTAAAGTGAAGCTTTCTACTCAAGTATAGTTTTTGAAATACCTTAGTTTCTTCTTGTTGTTAGTGTATTTATGTGTGATTAATTTTTGTCATGAAAATGTAGATATTTTTAGAGTTATATTTATTAGGCATTTGACAGCTATGATTTAGGCATTAAACAATCGGTCAATGAGATGTAGATATAAATTGATCTTTTATTATTTGAAATTGTAGCAAATATTTGAATATGTTTAAATAATCTTTTGTTTTCCTTTCAGATTTTTAAACACTATGTAATTATGTCTGCTCTTTTAAGGTTATATATTCTTTTAAAATAGAAGTATTAATAATGATGACAAAGAAATATTGACTGAAACTGATACTTGCATTTATATATTTTTTCTGACACTTAGATTTTGTTGAATTAAATTCCCTATTTTCACAATAACCTTTATTCTTGGCTTTTTGAATATTCGTGTTGATAAGTGTTATATATGTTCTTTTGAGATAGTGAAATGCCTCATAGAAAGTGTTCACCTGGGCAGTTAAATAAATTATTATAAATTGACTGATTTCATTCTTTTCTAAGAGTGTTTCACAAAAGAATTGGAAACCATAGTCCTCAACTCTCCCTAAGTAGCATAAGCTTTAAATAGCACTCATAATCCATATTAAGTCTTCTTAGTGTAGCATGGTTACTCTCATGTGTCTTTCTATGTTTTAAGTGGTGTAAATTTTAGTTTTTTGTCATTCAGAAGTGGCTTTGCAAATACAAAATACTGAGATTTTTTTAATGTTAAGTATTTTTTATTTTAAAATGAGTTTCATTTCTGTATTTGTTTCTGTCTCTTTGTTTGCATTTTTTAAGCCAACAAGCTTGCTAATATAGTTTGCTGACCTTCATGCCACAAGTCTACTTAGCTTTACAGAATAATCATGTGACCTTGATGAACAATAGAAAACTTAGCTTTTAAGTTTGGTACTTATTTAATTAGGCAGTTAAAGGCAAAATTGTCAGTTTATCTTGTCAAAGAAATATTAAAAGCCATCTTAGATGGATTTGTTTTTATAGAAAAGTAAATGGTTTACTTTGTTTTCTAATTCTTGAAATAGAGAAAATCATATTCATAGAAATGATTCCATCATCTCCTTAATACAACCAGCTGTGATAAAAAGCTCTATAAAATATCTGCTTTTATCAACTAAGAAGTAGAATGAAATTAAGTGCTTCAAAGAAGTGGCTTTTTGTTGTGTACTTAAGGTAAAAGTAAAAAGTACATCTAATATCTCCTGATATATACTTCATTGTTGTATTGAAAAAATTATTTTACATGCATTTGCTTTTATCTGACGAAATTAGAGAAAGATTTGTTCTTCATTAGTGATATTTAAAGATAACTTTTTCTTACTGCTTTGAGCATAACCCTTTTTTAATTTTAATTTTCCTGAAAAAAATCTTTTTTCTTTTAGTCACTTCTGCCTTAATAAATATGTCAGCATAGCCTTTTTCTTTATGATTAGCTATAACATGGATGTGACACCCCTGCCCCGTACCCATAGTGATGCCATGATGCAATGTGTTTGTTTATTTAGTTCATATCTGATTATCTATCTGTTGATCTCAGCTGTTACTTCTAGATAATGCTCATTTTACTAATCTCTACAACAGTACCTACAAATTGGAGTAAATAAACTTTGAGCAAAGAAAGCATCTATAGACATCTATAGATTGTACATTTTAGGGCATAGTTGTTCTGTGTATTTTGACTTCTCAGATTTTTTTCTTGGCTCTTGGCTGTATTCAATATAGTTGATGTAGCAATTCTGTATTTGTTTTGTAGATACTTATAAAATCTTTATTTGTAGATTTGTATATATAATTTCATTTTAATGACTGAAGCAACATAAAATTTGCTTTATTATATCACAACATTAATGAACCAGGTATATCAAAAAGATAACGCCTTATCAGTGATGATAGTACTTGCATATTGTGGACAAATTAGAGGTTAAGGGCAGAACACTAATTTATTCAGGGATAATATTCCATTGCATTAGCAGGAGAGAGTAAACCTATGTACTTACACGAGAGATCATCTAATGTGAAATTTCTTGTAGATGGGAAACTGAAGTCCCTGGAATTTAAGGAACTTACCATGGTTATATAATTACTTGATGGAAGAGTTATTATATTCATTCAAATTATTGTGAGACTGTGACTACTTCCAAAATGAAAAGATTGGAAGAAAGATATGACAGACTTTTTTCAACCAGGTTGGAATATCATTAGTTTTTCTTTTGGGGTTGAGCTTTAGGAAATTCTTTTTTATTTGCTTTGATGGCTAAAAGCATTTCCGAAACGCATTAGTATATTTTTTTCTTTTCATATGAAGAGAATATTATAGCACTCTTTTGCTTCAGTCTTAAGTACTTTATCACTTTCATGCCTTTCTCCATTAGAGAAACTGAATCATTGGAAGTTAAGTATCGTGCCCAGTGTTATACAGCTAGTAAATGGTGGTGCCAGGCTTGACAGATAGTCTGACCCCATAGCTTATTCTCAAGTATCCGTCTGACTTCATTATATGTAGTTATTTTACTGTATTATAATTTTTGTTTTAATACCTGGCTTCTCCCTAGGCAATAGCCTTTTTAAAAGAAAGGAATGATAGGGAACAGTGTCTTTTCATGTTTTTATCCCTAAATACAATGTGTTGTGTAACAGATAGGTATACTATAAATACTTATATTTTTTATACACACACACACACACCCACACACCCACACATATATATATATACTTGTGCTTTGTTTTTGTTTTTGTTTTGAGATGGAGTCTCACTCTGTCTCCCAGGCTGGAGTGCAGTGGTGTGATCTCGGCACGTTGCAACCTCCGCCTCCTGGGTTCAAGGGGTTCACCTGCTTCCACCTCCCAACTAGCTGAGACTACAGGCATGTATCACCACACCCAACTAATTTTTATATTTTTAGTAGAGACAGGGTTTCACCATGTTAGCCAGGCTGGTCTCAAATTCCTGGCCTCAAGTGATCTACTTGCCTTGGCCTCCCAGGCCTCCCAAAGTTCTGGGATTATAGGCGTGAGCCATCATGCTCAGCCTAATATTTATATTTATAAGAGGTGAATTCGTTATTATTTCTTAGTTGGTTGAAAGGATGGCCATCTGTCAGTCTAAATAGTCATCATTCTCAGTATCTGCTTTTTTGTTTTTGTTTTGAGATGGAGTCTCACTCTGTTGCCCGTTCTGGAGCACAGTGGCACAATCTTGGCTCACTGCAGCCTCCGCTTCCTGGGTTCAAGTGATCCTCTCACCTTAGCCTCCCAAGTAGCTGGGATTACAGGCGTGTGCTACCACACCCAGCTAATTTTTGTATTTTTAGTAGAGACGGGGTTTCACCATGATGGCCAGGCTGGTCTCAAACTCCTGACCTCAAGTGATCTGCCCACTTCAACCTCCTGAAGTGTTGAGATTACAGGTGTGAGCCACCTCGCCTGACCTGAATATGTGCTATTGTTACAGGTTCTATAACCTCAGAAAATGTGAAAGTCAGCCTGAGTGTATGTTGCAAAGTGAAAATGGAGCAAGACTACCTGGTTTCCAATCCTCACTTAGCTACTTAATGACCATTTGGAAGGAATTTGGCTTCAATAAAATATCCCAGAGATACTCTTATTACTTTGTGTAAGTTAAAACAAGAGACAGAATATTTTGGAGAAAGGCTATTAAGAAAGTAGTGAAAATCGGCCTGGCATGGTGGCTCACGCCTGTAATCCCAGCACTTTGGGAGGCCAAGGTGGGCAGATCACCTGAGGTTGGGAGTTTGAGACCAGTCTGACCAACATGGAGAAACCTTGTCTCTACTAAAAATACAAAATTAGCCGGACATGGTAGCATACGCCTGTAATCTCAGCTACTCGGGAGGCTGAGGCAGGAGAATTGCTTGAACCCGGGAGGCAGAGGTTGTGGTGAGCTGAGATCGTGCCATTGCACTCCAGCCTGGGCAACAAGAATGAAACTCCGTCTCAAAAAAAAAGTACGAAAATCGTATAATTTTCTGGAGACGGACTTTTTCATTCCAGGTCTCTAATTATTATTACAAATATTTTTTTCAAAGTCAGCAATTAGTACACAAGTCAAAGATGGCCAGATATATAAGAAAATATGACATGAATGAGAAATAACTGAAACAACAGACAGTAGAAAGAGGCCTGTAAGACTTCTTGGATATTAGAGTGGTCAGATATAGACTATTGTTTTTAAAGTTCTGTTTACTATTTTTAAAAACATAAATGCAGACTTTCAAAATGGAATTATTTAAAATAGCCTGTAGATTTGTGAAATATTAGGATATAAATTTTAGAAATGAAATTAAACATAACCAAAATTAAAAACTCAGTATACATACTAGTAGCAGATTGGACATACAGATGAAGATAGAATTAGTGAAGAGGAAGGTAAGTCAGAAGAATTATTCAGGATACAGCAGGGAAGGAAAAGATG